CTTAAAATCCTATTGTACACAATCAGATATACCTGATAATAGAGGGCAGAAGGCTACACAAAAAATAATCTTGACTTATCGCATAGTAATAAATTAATATCAAAAATGTATTTCTGTTTTTTCTTTTTACATATTTTGTTAAAAGGGCAAATAAGGAATTTAAACCAAAAAAAGTAATTGTCTGTTTTGTTTTATTCTTGGATCGGGCTTTAAAGGGCAAATGATTTAAAGGGTCCAATAATCATGCTGTTAGACATTTTAGGGTATTTTGAAGGACCACGCAACAAAGAGTGAAATAGAATAAACCTCTAGCTGCAAGGAAACCACGTTAAAGACTTTCCCTCCATCCTGTAGTATTGATTTCAAAATAAACCAAATTCATGAAATATGACCATTGGTGTGTATTACTCTATCTATGACTTTAAATTTTGACATTAACTGTAAAAGCTCCTCATTTGAATTGGAACCCAGAAGAAAACTGACATTTAAATTGGTGTAATGTGATTTTTAACAATCAGCCCAAAGAACAATAAATGTAAAATTCAGGCTGTAATTTGTCTTTTAATGAGGATTTGGAGATTCCACTGGAGATCCCAGTGAAGCTGGACTGACCGCTGACGCCCTCTACCTGTATCACTGGGCAAAGGCGCAAAGCAAAGGGAGCCCGGTCTATCTGTGGGGCCACTCTCTGGGCTCTGGGTCAGTTTCTCCTGTGTTTTTATTTAGACCCACTGACTTCTAATGATAAAGAACCAAAACACAAATAATAATTTTTTTTTTTTTTCAGAGTGGCAACCAACACTGCAGTGAAAATACAAGAACAAGGTGAGTTAGAGTGATAGGAAGTCATTGAGGCAGATGTCTGAACGCTACATGCAGGTTTGGTCTAAAACATCAATGTCCAAAAGGACTTCAATCTCTGTATTTGTTTTCCTCTCTCAAATACCCCCTAAAATAAAATTCCCTAGAGTAATAATGCAACTATGCATTTCAGATTACAGTCTTCTACTTTTATAAATACCAACTTCTTATATGGTAGATTTGTGCATTTATCTTTTATAAACATTTATGCATCAGGGTCTGCTGTGGATGCTGTAATCCTGGAAGCTCCATACACGAGGATTGGGGATGTTATTGCAGATAATCTGCTTGTTAAGGTGAGGTGGACCTTTGCAGCGGTTTGTTTACCTTTAAGACTTTGTATGAAACAGCAGATTAAAGTCATTAGCAGCATTTCTGCATTCAGTTTAGGACCTTTTGGGAGTAGATTGCAGTTTTAGGCAATATTAAGGATATAATATGAATTTTTTTGTAAAAATAAGCTTTAAAATGTTTTATATTCAGCATCATTTTCATTTGGATTCTTTTTATCTTTAAAATTCTGCAAATCAGAACTTTAGCATCTCTATTCTTAGTGCCCTAATTGAAGACTTCAGAGCTCTCTTCCCTTTTCTAGACATTATTTAAATCAATATTGTCCAGACTGATAAACTGTTCAGTAAAAGGAAAAAAATAAAATAAAAGTATCCTATAAAAGATTTAATTTGATATATACCGAGATGAAGGATGCTGCTACTCTCCTCCTGTGTTCCAGATGTACACGTTGCTGCCAGGAGTTGAGAGCTTGCTCTGGAACTTATTGGAAAAGATAAACATATCGTTTGCCAATGATGAAAAGTAAGTTGGCATAAATCAAAGCCAGTCAGCAGCCATATTGATTATTACAGTCTGCTCTTATTGCTGCAGTTTAAAGACCCTGAGCAGTCCACTTCTGATCCTGCATGCAGAGGACGATAACATCGTTCCCTACCGTATGGGTCAGAAGGTACAGTGGATTTTCTTCCCGCCTAATTTCCTGTTGCAAGCGTGCCTGCTTTGCTAAAACGGTTTGCAACTATTTGCTCCAGCTGTACCAGATAGCGCTGCAAGCCCGGAAGGAATCCAACTCAGACGCTCGAGTTCAGATGATCACCTACAGAGGAAACCTTGGACTGTCCCACAGCCACATATGCTTGGACCCCGATTTGTCAGATGTGGTGCAGTAAGTCAGGAGATCAGCTTAAATCTGAGCTCAAAAATAATGTCCATTTGAATTTAACTCAGACTTGCATGTTGCAGGACATTTCTACAAACTTGATGAAAGGACCATCCTTCCTGCAAAGTCATAAAAATGCAAGACAACCAAAAACAAATAAAAACTTGCATCACTTTGCTTTTGAAGTTTTATTTCAGCAAGTAGAGAACAAGATTCATTAGTCTTTTGTCTTTCTAAACACTAGTTTTTCCTCTTATAAACAGTTTTTCTAAGTACAGATCACCTCAGGTCTTCCTTCCTTATAACCATTCAACTTCCTGAATCCTAAAACCCTCCTGATCCTTAGGAATGTCAGAAATGAGTGAGTTTTCAGAGCTTTTCCACCCTTCAGAGACTGAATGTGTTGGCGCTAAAGAAATGTAACAGTGCTTTGACTAAGATGCAAAGGGGAAAAAGATAAAAAGCACCTTAGATTCCCCTGAAAAACAGAAAAATAATAAAACGCTAATAAGTTGCATAAAGGCTTTGTTCTGTAAACGAAATGGCAGCCCAGGGGATGCGAAACATTTTCACATTTTCTTCAGAGCTTTGACCGTTTCCTCGATGGCCTCCCTGGGCTCACTAGGGGGAGGGATCTTCAGGTCGGTGGGCTCCATGCCCCACACCTCAGTAGCATATTCTGTGATGGTTCTGTCGCTGGAGAACTTTCCTGTTGCTGCGATGTTCTTGATTACCATCTTTGTCCATTCCACTGGATTCTATTACACAGGAAACACAGATTAGAGTGTGCATTAGTTTAGGAAGAAGACTCAAATCCTGGTATCCACAACATTCCATTTAACTGTTTAATTTTGATTTAAGTTTAATGAAGTTTAATTTGAATAATAATACTACTACATTTTATTGCAAAGCGCCTTATCAAAACACCCAAGGACACTTTACAGGCAGATAAAACATTAAAAACAGGAAGCTAAAAAGTACAACCATAAAGATGCCACAGAAAACAAAACAGCAGGAAGTAAAATAAAGCCAAAGGAAGAAAACAATATTGGAGTGATGCATATGACCTAGATGGGATAAGACTGTCTGAACAGGAAAGTTTTGAGTCTGGATTTGAAGTTTTTATTTTTTAAGAAACATTTTCTGCAACAAACTTAAAAAAAGAGAAATACAGCTTCTAAAGTATAGCATGCCCAATGTTCGTTTTTTTGGAGAATCCGTCATGCTGTGGGCCCATTTCTCTCCTTAAGGACCTGGAAACCCTGCTGGGTTCCATAGCAGTCCGTAGAAATTAAGAGCTTTAAAATAAATCTGGTGGATTGTGAAAGTAAGCTGAAAATTGGTCAGCATCAAGTCTTTCAGGAGAATATTGAAGATTTCCTAACCCTACAGTACCATCATGTCCTTTATTGGTGCAAGAGTCGTTTTTCCAGCCCAGTGCTCACAGCTAAGAGAAAACTCCAAGTTCCTAAGGGTACATTTATATTTTGTAGTTGAATCAATAACTGACTGAGTTATATTTATTTCTCTATTATTGCTATTAGAGCCTTTAATTGTGCAAGTGATCATTTTATTTGTATGAAATCCAAGAATTTATTTTTGAAGGAAGAATGTCTGCGAATTCTTGTCAAAGAATACATACAGGGAAGCATAATGACGAAGCTGTTTTCCTAACATCTATATTTTAGGGAAATTTTACCTGATAGAGCTTGCTGACTTTTTCTTGGCATTTTATGTAGTCTTCAAAGTCTGCAAACACTTTGAATCTATAAGAGAGAAAGATTGTCAGAAGGTGAAGATAGTTTTAGCTAAATAAAAAAAAAAGGTAAACATCTTACCGGTCATGTTTGAAGAGCATGTTAGTGAGGTCCTTAAAAAGCTCCGGATTCTTGGGGCTGAAAAATCCGCTTGCAATCTGATCCATTACTTGTTTCAGCTCAGGGATTTTATCATAGTAGGACATGGCATCATATCTGAAAGAGCAAAGCTTGTAGAGCTTAAAAAGAAATCCTCAGGTGAGGTTATAAATGTTCCCTTTGATGAAGCGTTACCCCTTCTTGTCCATTTCGGCCACATCCTCCACCCGCATGCCGAAGATGAACAGGTTCTCCTCTCCCGCCTCTTCTGCCATCTCCACGTTGGCTCCATCCATGGTTCCGATGGTCAGAGCTCCATTCAGCATAAACTTCATGTTGCCCGTTCCTGAAGCCTCAGTGCCAGCGGTGGAGATTTGCTCTGACAGATCTGTTGCAGGGATCACTGAGGAAGAGCGAATCACAGGAAATTACAGGGACGTGTTTTCTGTTCCCCAAAAGACAACCTTGTTATAATATTTTACCTTTTTCTGCAAGAGAAACCCTGTAGTTCTCCAGGAAGATTACCTTCAGCTTGCTTCCTACCACAGGATCATTATTGACCACATCAGCCACAGATGTAATCAGCTTAATAATCAATTTCGCCATGTGGTATCCAGGTGCAGCCTGTCAAGGGCGACAATGGGAGGGTTACATCATGTTGCACTGCTTTAGCTCTGCATCATATGGTTGATTCTTACCTTTCCTCCGATAATCACCGTTCGTGGTACGAAAGGTGCATTGGGGTTCTTCCTGATGCCTTCAGAAAAAAGCAAAAAACAGACAAAAAAACAAAGTTAGAAACTGATATTCTTTTCTTTCAGATTCCGCATATTTAATATCATTAAGGGCCTTCGACTCTGGAGGAGCTGGAGAGCTCCACAGCTGTGGTGGGAGAAAAAGCTGCCATATAATGTTGTGGAAGGCAAATATCTGGCAGAGATGGTAAAATGGCAGGGAGTTGGCCATTACTGAGAGCCAATGGCAATCTCATTCTAGGGAGAACTGCTGGGTTCTGTTCAGACAAGCCCAGAAATGAACTTTTCAAACAACTTGTTAATCATTATGTGCCGCAGAAAACCAACACTTCCCTTCAGCAGCATCAAACTGGAGGGATGGTCTGCACATAAATCCATTTACCTTTTAACACTTTTCAGATCAGAGGGGCAGCTCTACAGACAAAGCCAGCAGGGGGCAGTAATGGGACAAATTTTAGATTTGGGTTAAAAGGAAAAAAAAAACAAAAAAGTAAAAGCCTTTTCCTTTGGAAATGTTCACCACTTTATGGTCATTACATAAAATCATCAGAGCTGATTGAAATGAGTTTCATTATAGTAGTAAATTATGAATACTTGATAAACAGGCATTGCATGCAGCATATTTGTGCAGAAGACTCCAAACAATGAAACAGCTTTCAGCTAAGGAAAATTTATAATTTATTGGCTGATGAAATTGCTTCACAGTTTAATCACAGCTTTGGGGCTTTGTGGAAAATTCCCACAGCTGATCTTAAAGGCTGCATTCCTCATGTCTGTTTTAACATGAAGCCCCAGGTGGGTGTGGAATATTCCACCTGTGAACGTCACTTTTCATCCAAATGATGACTCAGATTGACAATTTGAATTACCTGCAAGAGCATTTTGTTTTAGATCGAATGATTAAGCACAAATTGCAGCACGTACGGTTGTACAAGGTGATGATGTGAAGACAGTTTAGCAGCTGCCGTTTGTACTCATGGATCCTCTTGACATGGACGTCGAACATGGAGGATGGGTTGATCTTCACCCTGTACTCATTTTCCAGATACTGGGCGAACTTCAGCTTATTGTCCTGCAAGAATGACAATAGGAGGTGAAAATGCTGAATCAGGAGAACATGTAGCTGCAAGATGAGGTGCCTCAATGCCTGGGTTCATTAGACTGCAATGACTTTTCATGCGTGCATATAAATAAAAGTAAAACATGTCATTTTCTATGCAACATGTTCCGTTTCTCACCTTCTGTTCCGATTGATTTTCTTTTTACCTTTTAAGGAATAATGAACCTCAGGAAGAGAATAAAACATGATTTAAAACAATTGTAGACCTAATCTGATTTTATGTGGGTGTATCATCATGGTCATCATAAGGCTCAGCCCCTAGTAGAGAAAATGTAGGTTGATGCTTTCGTAGCTATCCAAACTGAAGACCTGATGGACATCGCTTTGGGAGACCAAAGGGTTGCAGGTCTTCCAGCCACTGATCATAAATCATGGCGAAGTCTTTGCAGGTTTTTAATAGATCTTTCTCAACTTAACATTTTTTTTTTAAGCAAATCAAGGGAACCATCTTTAAAATGTAAGCTCAATTGAATTCAACAGGGCAGAATGTTTCTCTTTTAAAAACCAAAATTGGATGGATAAGCCTAGCTAATCTTTGTGAGCTTAAGAGTCATTTCCAATTTCAGACGTTAAAGATCCAGTATTTTATTTTATTATTTTTTTAAACACCGAACAAAAGAATAAAAAAAAAAGCTAACAAAAAAGGAAATAGTTCATTGTTTGTAATATTAGGTGAACCAAAAGCCATAAAGGAAATAAACACCATGATCATATTTCAAGATAACATGCATTATGCATCCTATGACTTATGGGTTCAAAAAGTAAGGGAATCATATAAAATGGAAAAGATAACCTACTCATTAAGACTTAAAAAAAAAACACTTTTAGCCTGTGCTGGGGGCCAGCAGAGGCTATGTTGATGGCATATGGTGTTTAGCTATTAGTGTGTCCTTATTTTAGGGTTTTAGGATGATGACCCTACAAATGTGAGGCTGAGATCAGAAGATATCGAGCGAAGATGTTTATTTTATGGAAAACTTTATATAGTAAACATTTGTGTTATGTACCATTGATGTATGGCTGTATTATTGCTCTGTAAAAAAATAAAAGTATAAGTTCTATAAAAAAAAAATAGATGACATGCATTAAAAGTGAAACAACATTTTTCCTTCCTTCTTTAAAATAAAAGTGGTTCAAGGGACTCATAATTTACAGGCTCTGTACCGGAGCATATTCCTTTATATAATATTGGGTCTTTACTAATGGGGCCATAACCGTTTCTAAAGGGGGCCCTGTTCCCTGCTGGCCCCCCCATCTAGAACCGTCCATGTTGCTGCCATCACTGTATACATGTTGGTAACAGTGGCAGCATTCTGAGTGAGAGCATTTACTGTAAAATGGCTTCACCACCACTTTAGAACACAGATTAAATTTAGATGAAATTTGCAGTAAGGATTTTAAAAGCCTCCATGATCAAGTGAACAGACCTTTGCTCAGTCTCAGTGTGAGGAAGCCGCCTACCTGTTTGACTTTTGAGACGTCACGGATGAAGGCCACATCGTCGACAAAGTCATTCAGCTTTTTCAGCTGGCTGAGGTCCTTCACGTAGTCCTCCCCAATGACCTGACAGCAAAATGAGTATTTTAGACATATTGGAACATGTATAAGGATATGCATTGGCTGCTGAGGTGCGATCACATGATTCTCTGAAAGGTTTGAAAGTTTGTCTCAAACGAACCTCAGCGATGAGCTCAGCCAGTCCAGGGTTGCAGAGGAGCAGCCAGCGTCTGGGAGTGATGCCGTTAGTTTTGTTCTGAAATTTGCCCGGTTCTAGGTCACTGAAGTCCTTGAAGCTGGGGGGAAAAAATAAAAGAAATTATGTACATGATCAGAAGAAAAGTAAAATTTTTCACTTAAATGAACAGCAGCCACTGCAAGATTCCTGATTTTATCTGCTAAATCAACCACATTTAGCCTAAAAAAAACCCAGAAGCTTCTGTCGAGAGGCATTAAACTATTCTAAGCGAGGTCCTGTTCAGTCTGAGATGCTTCTCCTATTCTCTGCCAATTAGTTCAGACATTTTCAAATAGTGCAGTGCTTGTGGGAATTTAAGTACTTAAAAAAACAAAAAACAAACCAGAAATGGGTAGAATTAATACAATTTTGTCAAACAGATGACAGCTAGATAAGCAAAACAATGCTCCACCATGTTCATTTTGTTTCCAACTATTTCCTCATTGAAGAGAATGAGGAAGTAAAAGTAACATCTTTTCAATCTGGATGCACAGATTGAAGACTTTGCTTTACTAACACTAAATACATTTAAAACAGCAACAGTTTGCCAAAGCTCCAGTTTCAACAAGTGATGGTTCTTAACCACATAAAAGAAAGCTTACACTTGGGTTTTGATGATGTTGGAGTGTATTTGGGCAACTCCATTGACAGCGTGAGATCCTACGATGCACAGATGGGCCATGTTCACCCTCTTGCAGCCGTCCTCTTCAATCAGAGACATCTTCCTCAGTTTGTCGATGTCTTTGGGAAAGAGGGCAGCAATTTTCTATGTGGATTAGAAAAAAAGCCTTTAGATTGTTTAAGGAGAAAAAAAAAAAAAACTTGCAAAAGATCCTTTATAATCCTTAAACCCAGATTTAGTATGGAAACCTCTCACTAGCCATGTCCTCCAAATACAGCCTTATGATAAAGGTGAAAAATGCATATGTAGATATTTTGAAAGGAATAAAAAGAGGTGCCAATACATTGAACTTCTTTCCCTACATATGAAAGTGGCAGTAAACCAACACTATGCATCATCCTGAACACACTGCCACCACAGAGACAGAACCAGAGTGGGTGCTTTTCTTCAGCAACGACCATTAGAGAGTTGATGGTGAAGAGAGATGAATACAGGAGAGTTTTGGAGAAAAAATCTGCAAGATTCAGGAAGTTTGCTGCCCGTTAGGACTACTGTACAGCCAGATATGCAGGGGAGGGGTTTATATTAAAGTATATTTATGTTTAAGCACAAATCAAGTAAAAACAAATTACATTTTTAAAAAATAGAATGTAAGATTGTTGCTTTTAACTTTGCCAAGCTGGTAGAGACAAACCACAGAAGAATGAAAACTATAGTTACTGCGAAAGGTTGTCGACTCAAGACATGAAATGTATGCAAGCCACACTTTTCAGATTTTTAACCTCATCCTGACACAGAATATACAAGTACCATTAATAATGTAAACATTTTTTGCACAGTTTTGACCATTAGGTTATTTTTTTCATAGCTAAGAGTAGAAAACAAGCTGAGAAAAAGAAAAAAGCCATTGCACACTGAAATCGACCCCAGTGATGCTTCAGCTTCAACATGCTTACATCCAGGTGAGCCTGGTTGATCTGGTAGATGATCTGCAAGTGTCTGGGAAGAAGGTTCTCCAGCAGCTCCACAGGCCAGCGCTCCAGAGCCTCAGGGAGAATCGTATGGTTGGTGTAAGCAAACGTACGCCTGGTGAGATCCCAGGCCTGAGGGAGGAGGACATGTCTCATTCAATGAGTGCATTTTATGTCCAATCTACTCCTAAACCTGGCTAAACACTTCACTGCTGCGCATAAACATTTAGCAAGAATGTGGGTTGAACCATAACTAGCGCTGCTTGCCCTTACTTGTTCTTCATTTCCTAATCAGTACTTCCTGTCAGTTACTATTGATTGTATCAGTCAAAGCAGACGTGCACTCACCGTGTCCCAGTCAAGTTTCTCAATGTCCACAAAGATCCTCATCAGCTCGGGAATGGCCATGGCAGGATGGGTGTCATTCAGCTGGATGGCCACCTGAAGAACAGGACGCCATGATCTCTCTCCTCTACAAACAGACTCAAAAATTTATTATTTTTTTTCCCCAAAGTCAACTTTCAGGCTAGTTGGGCCGGTTGTGAAACAGACTAGAGGAATCTTGAAAATGCATTACTTTAAAGATGCATTCTTCTAAATAATGCAACCACTCTTCAGATGACTTCACCATCAATTATTCCATTTGTCCCCCTTTTTTAATAGGAAACCATGACTAAGCTATTTATGCAAAGCTCAGCCACCTAGCAGCTTTAGTAGCTGCAACAGACCCAAACACAGGAAATGTTGACATAATGTTGCAAACAGAATGAAGCAAAATACCAACTGAAACCGACAACACCACTTCTTTTTTTTAATGAGACTTACTACTTACTTTATCTGGGAAACCATCAAAGCAGGTCCTCTTGAGGCTCTCCTTCTTAGTGGTCTTGAAGCGGCGGATGATGTCTTGGAGAGTGGCTGCCACTACAAAGTACTCCTGCTTCAGACGGAGCTCCTTTCCTTCAAAGAACTGCAAAAAAGGAGACATGTAAGGGGAAAAGCATCCAATGGTGGATGAGATGGAGATATTGAAAAGTGAACTTACATTATCATTTGGATAGAGGACTCTGGAGATGTTCTCAGCCAGATTTCTGTCCAGAACAGCTTCTATGTAATCTCCTACATTAACTATAGAGAGGAACAAACCAGATGTCACCAGGAGCAAAGCTTAAAGATAAAAAACAAACTGCAATGTTGAAGAGTGGAAATAATCACAATTAGAGACATTTTCATTCATCTTACACATTGGGTACACATTACACTTATTAACAGTATAAGAACAGACAGGTTATTTCTCTACATGTGGGAAATAAACAAAAAACAGAAAAAAAGTGCAGTGAAAAGAAAATAGTTTCAAGTTCTTTACAATGTTGGAATATATTTATATACATCCCTTAAAACAATCCTTTTAGACTCCACTCCCTTTGGGGCATGCAGCACATTTAGACTTTGACATTCTTTACAAAAATAGCTCAAGGTCATGCATACTGATCAGTGGCTCAAACTCAAATCCACAAGGGCTGGAGTCCTGCAACGTTTAGCTACGTCTCTTGTCCTACGTAACTGAAATCAGGGCTAAACTGCCTCACTAGCATGCAGTCAGTCTCCCAAACTGCCAGTGACTTTGCATTTGAGTGAAAACTGCTGAAACAGAGACCTGCAGGGGACTGGAGGGCCAGTCTCTTAGGGCCAGACCTTATATCTAGTCTAGTGGACATCATTAGGTGTCTCATGTCTTGCAGAATGAGCAAAAAGCCCACAGCATGACGCCACCAAACGACATTTACACACGGGCTAAAAAAATTAAATTTTTGTCTCCTCCTAAAACCAGGGAGCCCTTTCCATGTGACTGTTGCATAAAGGTCAGATTTGGCAAATGTGCAACTGATAATTGACATCAATACATTCTCGCAGCAGAGCTGTTAAATCTCTGCAGCTCCTCCAGAGACGCATTGTCACTGCATCTGAGATTAAACCTCTCAATTAGTGGTCATGTCTCATTCATCTGTTTTCATTGCTCTTTAAGATGTAATTTCACTACATTTCTCCAAAACACCCGAGGCCTTTACAGAGCAGCTGCATTCATACAACACTTCAAAAGGTTATTTGTTGGAGTGGATTTATTTAGAGGCATCCGAGTAGGAGGTGACACCTGAATCATTTACCTTCCATGTCAGTTATATAGGAGTTGATCTATCCTGCAAAATCTCAATATGCCACAAATGGAAGAAAGTGGTTGGAATGTAATCAGTTGGTAAAATAAAGGCAGCACTTACAGTCTTTCAGGTTGAAGTCATTCGGTGCACGGGCTGACCACAGCCTCATCGTATTCACAGTGTTGTTCATGTAGCCAGGAATGGGCGTGTCGTAAGGCATCGCCAAAACAACCTGCAGGTGAGCCGTTACAGAAAGACCACAGCACAAGATTATTCACTGACAATCTGGAGGAATTCTACTTTCCTTCCACTAAGATTTAAAACCATTTCTCCACCATGAAGCAGTTGCTAGGATATTTTATAATGTTGCTAGGGCACCTGAGTGTCAACCCATTTGGGTCCATCTCTAGTCTCCTCTACACGTCCATAGAAGTGAACAGGAAGCATATACTCAGGGCGGGCCTTCTCCCAGGGGTTTCCATGCCTCAGCCAATCGTCTGCCTCCTCCACCTACAGCACAGAAGGTCAAAGATAAGGACACTTTAGGACAAAACTCAGGGACGGAAAGACAAACTCTGCTTTTTGACCTTCCCCCAGTAGCCCGACACAAAAAGGGAAGCCCTTATAGTCCGTTACACCCCACATTTGCTCTTGTTTTAAGTAAATAACTATCACTAGCTGCAGAGCCCAGGTGCACAGGTTCATCTAGTGTCCGTAAACAGCGAGCATGCGTGCAGTTCAGAGTTCAGGGGGACATGTTTACACTGACGAGTTCAACCTGCAAATAACCAGCAGAAGCTTGCAGTTTTGCAAACTCCTATCAGAAGAGTTCTGCAAAGAACTTGCACCACCCCAGTCCTATAATGTGCGTCTGACTGCACAACGTTTTTCTGTCAATTATTAACTTGAGATATTTTCTGACCCAAATTCTCTCAACCTTATTCTCAGTGATTTTAGACAGAAATCCTTACTTTCATAATGAAAGGGCTGTATAGTGGTGGGTGAAGTCTCAGGCAGTTTTAAAATAGAGGTAGATTTTATTTTTTAAAGAACACTTACTTGCCAACCGTCTCTTATCTTCTGATTAAAGATGCCGTATTCATATCGGATACCGTAACCATATGCTGCAAGACCCAAGGTGGCCATGGAATCCAAGAAACATGCTGCAAAACAGTAATATTATATTCTAGTTAGAATAAAGAGCTGGAGGGATATTTTGACAGCACAAGGGAAGTTTCAAAAGTTTGTTCATTTCCATCCGATGTTGAAAACATTCTTAGGTCGAGTTTCTTCACATGTTCAGTAGACATGCAGATTTTTATTTTAGAGAACAGCCAATGTAGCCTGGAGATAATAATGGTTCAGGTTGCAAAGGAAATGGATTGTATGCATTAAAAAAAAGGATCTTTGGGGAAAACTTCACTTTATTCTTCTTACCTGCCAGCCTGCCCAGCCCTCCATTCCCCAGTCCTGCATCCTCCTCGATCTCCTCCAGCTCCTCCATATCCAGGCCAAGCTGCAGGAGAAATAATAAAAAACATCAAACTCTTTGGTTCAGCTTCTGCAACTTGGGTCTAGGTGTCCAAATAAATGACCGTCTGACCTGGTAGATGGCCTCATCACAGGCATTCTGCAGGCCCAAGTTGATCATGGTGTTCTGCAGCGTCCGGCCCATGTAGAACTCCAGGGACAGATAATAAACCCTCTGCAAGAAGAAACCCTTAGCAGCTTTGAACATTGAATATATCAATAAGAAACTGCATCTTGCATATGTAGATTAGGGCTTTAAAATAAGGACTAGAAGTGGAGCAACCATGTATTTCCAGCCACAGAATATGTGAAGCTGATGCACTGACCTGAAAACACAAAAGCTTCTTTGTATGTAGAAAACTTTATGCAACACAAACTTAGATGCTTGCAGGAGTGGAAGTGTTTAATTTGCATTTAGATGCATTTGCAGGTGGATCTTTTACCTTGGGGTCTGCTTCATAGTAGAACTGTTGCGTCCTAATCCATCTCCCCACCAGGTGGTCTCTAACAGTGTGGGCCAGAGCAAAGTAGTAATCCCTGGGCGTTGCTATGTTCCTGTCTTTCACCAGGGTGAAGTGCAGGTGGCGATTAAAGCCCTTCTTCAGCTCGGCCACGTTCTCCACTCCCACGATCCCCCGGATGCTGATCTGTTTGCGCTTCTCTTGGTCGGTGAGAGGAGTCGCCATGGTGGCTCCTGTGCAGGTAGTTAGATCTGCTGCTGCTAGAAACGCCTCAACTCTGCCCAACAGAGTAAAGTAAAGAGGAATGGAGCAACATCCGCAGTTTTCATGAAGGATCCTCCTCCTCAGGCTGTTGTTCATTGGTGAGTTCAAGGGGAGGGGGGTGTGTCCCTTTCAAAGCCTCAGCTGAGAACTAGAGGAGGGGGGGTGGGGGGTTCAGCTGAGTTGAATTTCAATCACAACTCCTAGGATGGGATGGGGGAAGGGTTGAGGGTCTGTTTTGGAGAGGAAAAACACAGCAGGAACTAAAAAACAACCAGAAAGAACAACAGAAAAAAAGACTGAGGTGCAGAAACTGCAGGAAGGGCAGCACTTGATAATGGGAAGTTTCTACTGAGGGATCTAGTTAGACCAGACTTCATGTTTTTGGTTCAGACATGTTACTTTGAAATTAATTAAAAAACCCTACTATTATATGATTGTTCCTTATGTTCCTAACTTCGCTCTCAATCTGCAGGTTTACTAGTGGTTCCTAGAATTTCTAAAAGTAGAATGGGAGGCAGATCTTTTAGTTCTCAGGCTCCTCTCCTGTGGAACCAACTACCAGTTTTAGTCCGTGAGGCAGACACCCTGTCTACTTTTAAGGCTAGGCTTAAAACTTTCCTTTTTGATAAAGCTTCTAGTTAGAGTGGCTCAGGTTATCCTGAGCTATCTCTATAGTTCTGCTGCTATAGGCTTAGACTGCTGGAGGACATAGGGACCCCTTTTTCATCATTCTGCTTCATTCTATCCAGACGCGCTGGAAGCTGTTTCAAGCGAGGGGGGCTGATGGCTGGGTTGGAAAACACGTGACGTCATTATGTTGAGGGCTGTGGCTGACGTTTTTAACATAATATTGTAGGCCTACATTTGTCGCCAAAAACTGCCATTTAAAATGCATCGGAACAAAGCATGAACATTTTAAACTTTATTTCTTCTCTTTTAATCATTCGAAACAAACAAGAGCTCCCAATCAACAGGATCAGGAATACAGGATCAGGAATGAAACATGGCCTAAATATAGCCTAAACTGAGCATTGAACGTCTTGAAAGTCCATTCGACTATGGATATGGGGAATGATTTCATATCTGAAACAAAAAACACACACAAAAAAAAATTAACTAATTTCATATTTTATCACTAAATAGCTTAATACAGACATAATATTTAGTGATATGCAGCCTTATTCTAGCGTATAGGGGAATTAAAACCATTTCTTACCTCGAATTGTTTAGAAATATGTTTCTGCTGCCTATTGCTAGCCATGCCTAAACGAATGTGAGGTGGCGGAAGCTTCCGGGGGAGTAGCCTAGTTTTTAATGAAATATTAAAATAATGAATCATTAGTTTATATCTTACACACAGCCCATCATTTTAATCCCATGTCAAACACAGTCTTCTGAAAAATAAATACATAAATAATTTCATGTTTTTAAGTACAATATTATGTTACTCCACAGCCCCCCACCATGGGGGGCTGATGCTATGACGAGGGAGGCTGCAGCCCCCGCAGCACCCCCCTTCCCGTGCCACTGATTCTATCTCTATTCTCCCACTCTGCAGAATCTGTTAGTTCAATCTCTAACGTTCTGCTCTCTCTGCTTTTTCTCATAGTAGCTTCATCTGGTCTGTTCCTGTTTGGCTGTGACTCCATCTTGGAGAGAAATATCAGCTGTGCTGCTGCCATCAACACCTTTGTTTCTAGATGTTGGAGCTTGGCCTGTTTTCCAGTGTAGTCCTGTTTCTCTCACTGTGACTAACTGGATGTGCTCTCTTCATCCTCTGACATGGGAGCTGGCTCGGAGCTCGTCTGCCTGGCTGTGTGTTTCCTGGACAGGGCCGCCTGTGGAGCTGGTTGACAGTTGCCTTTTGTATCTATGCTTCTTTTTCTATGTCTGCTTCTGTCTCCTTGAACCCCAGTGGGCCTCAGCAGATGGCCGCTCACACTGAGCCTGGTTCTGCTGGAGGTTTCTTCCTGTTCAAAGGGAGTTTTTCCTCTCCACTGTCGCTACAAGTGTTTTTTGTGTGGGGTTTTTGTGGAGTGTCTGTGTGTCTGTGCTCTGCTGTTTTTTTTTTTAGAGAGAACTTTGAATCAATCAGACTGGATGATCTGGTGAACTGGAAAGTGCCTTGAGATGACTTGTGTTGTGAATTGGCGCTATAGAAATAAACTGAATAGAATTGAAATTAAATTGAATATATATATGCGTATATATTTAATTATATATGATCTGAACGTCAATATAATTGCGGTTTGCACCATGTGTTTTTCTCCCACATTGTTTACATTTGATCACTGCTGCTGTTTAGAAAATGGAAATGTTCATTTCACTGCTAAGCTGCTGCTCATTTACTGCCTGAAAGCTGTACAAAACTAATCTAAATAAAACAATAAAAGTCTAAGTCAATTTATCTAGATTCATATTCTCTCTTCACCTTTTGTATCTTTTTTTTTTATTCATTCATCTGTTGCTTTTATTTGCATGATGCCACAATACAATAAAAATACATCATATGTATTCAAAAGTATCTAGAGAATACACTAAAAAACAATATTCAGTATTTCTACCTGGAATATTTATCCCGATCAGGTGCCCTTAATGTTTTAAAGTTGGATAAGTGCATTTTATTATAATAAAACAAGCACAATTTTTTCAAGACACCTTTAAAATGTTTAGGGCAGCAAAATGACGTAAAAATGTGCAAATTGAGATCCCGAAAGGATGTATTGTTGTATACGAACATGTTAGTTTGCACCCAACACGAGGCCTTTTGCACTGGCTTTAACAACCTACCATTTAAAATCGTTTTCTATCGTGTGTTCATAGTTTGTTTCTTGTAAAGAAACTTTATTTGTGAGGTTTCAGGATTTCCAAGAATCAAAATAAAATGGATTAAGGTGCAGTAAGTTTTCAGTCAATATCACTCCCTTAAATTAAACTGTTGCAAAACATTTCATAATCATTTATATTAGCAATTCAGTGGAGTGTAGTCTTAACTAATACACTTCACATGAATAACATAAATTAAAAGCATTTTGTTTACAGCCCAAAAATGGAAATAGAAAATGACATATAAACAAACAATATTTACATTTTAATTAGATGATTTTCTAATTTTCCAATCGACACAATTTGCTTCAAAGTTACCTAGTGAGCGTTTATGGAATTCCTTACATGGCATAATATATTTATATTTCATCTTAAATGAAAGTAGGATAAAATGCTAAATACTTTTTTTACAAATTAATGATTTTTTTTCATTTTTCCAGTATTTATCTATCAGAGGAAATCCCCCTGTCCTACTTATCAGTTTGCAGTTACAAGGCGACACATTAAAAAGTTCATTACACTGCAAAAAATCTAAATCTAGATAAGTATTTCTTCTTAAAATAAGTGCATATGTTATTGAATTGAGGAGGTTAAAGAGACATTTTGCCAATGAAGCAAGACAATTTACACTTAAAATAAGAAAACACAATTGCATTGTCTTATTCCAAGCGCATTTTATCTAATTATCTTATTTTAAGAGTAAAAATACTCATTCGATTGGCAAACTATCTCATTTACCTACTCAAATTAAGGATGAATACACTTAATTTAGGAATTTTTTACTTATTTCTAGATCGTCTTTGCAGTGTAAATATGTTTAATTCAGTTTCGGTCGTATACTTTTAACACTTAGATGTCAGATATCTAGAAATGTTCTCATTCAGTGCGGGAAAACACAATGCTGAAATGGGGTTGCTATGAATCCAGCACTTCATACTTTGCTAGACATTTACAGAATTCCTATTCCAGAGAAGACGTGTAAAGTATGATTGGCAGGCAGGGCTGTGGCCCAAAAAAGCTGGGGTTCAGAGGTGGCCCCCCCATGACCTCTGTGAAACACACTCTGTTAGACATCCTATACCTACAATTGTCATCAGTCAGCAGCAGTCATACGTCTTTCACTACCAACACCATACGGCCCCATCTAATCCGGTTAGTGAGGTAGGTGGGCGGGTTGCACGTTTAGCTCTCTTTAAAGCAATTTCTTGGTTCTGCAACCGGGTGTTTGCCACTCTAGTACATCAGTAGCTGTGATGTAGGGGAGTGGCAGCCCAGAGAACGTGGAATCCTGAGTTTGAGTCCCACTCTGGCTCTCTGAGAAAGACCCCTAACCCCACACTGCTCCCTGGGTGCCCCATGTTGGCAGCCAACTGCTCCTGAAGGGGATGAGTTAAATGCAGAGGTAAATTTCTCCAACATGAGATCAATAGAGTTAAATTATTATCATTATTTTTGGGACAGTTTGCAGTTTTCTTACACTGACTGTATCAGCTGACAAGCGAAGGTCTAGAGACATCATGTGATCCAAAGCTTGCAGCAAATTCACTTGTATTCTCAAAAATCTTACATTTTTATGTCAATTAATATGCCTATTTTTAATTTTTGTTTTGGTTGGGGGTGGGGGACCTTTTAAACAATCATTACTGAACTATATCATTTCTTGAGTACATTATGCAAAAGGGATTAAGTCCTAAAGTAGAAATATCACCAGTGCTGCCATTACTGGATTGCAGGACATGACTGAAACATTTAATAAATACTTAAGTCCCGTAGGTTGATCACAGTTTCTATGAACTTAATGATATTAGCAAGGTTAATAATACAGAACTTCATGTTTATAGGGGTATGAATATAAAGTGGCACAGAGGTCTTTCTTTAAGCAACAGTCCACTATGCTGAACAATGATTCATTTTGTACTTCGCTGTCACAGACTATAAGCCACATATGTCAAAGTGAAGCCCAGAGATGGCAAAAGTACTCACTTTCTGTACTTGAGTAAAAGTACAGATACTTGTGTTAAAAAAATACTCTGGTAAAAGTGGAAGTACTGA